TAATTTAAGAAACAGCTGAGCCAGCTGTTAGAAGGGATTGATGAGACTAAAATTATCTAGCTTGCGCAATAACACATCACAGTCATCGTGACTATTATTTTGCTAGGTCATATTCATGTGATGGGAAGAGGAAGTGGGACACCTTTATTCGAACAATGCTTAAGGCAGCTTCACGTATTCTGAAACAATGTGCTGCAGATAGCTCAGCTGGGATTCACCGCTGCCAAAGCCCTGTCTGCAATAACAGCTCAGACTCCGCTGTGTGTGTGTGTGGAACAGTGTAATGACATTTCACTAATCAAGAAATTGAAGGCATTAGTTTAAAAAATGCAGAACTGGGTTAAAGGTTGGGACTGTCCATGATGATGTTTTCCACTCTGAAAGTTAAAAAACAAGGAGCTGAAGTGAAAATCTGCTACAGAGAGCAAAACCAAAAATCTATTCAGTTTTCAGCTTGTGATCCACTGAAAAGGCAGAGTTTACAACCTCAACACTGTGGTGTGCTTATATAAAACACAAGATAAATAAGTGGATTAGTCATAGTAAGTCTCAAAAGTGTTTCACTCAAAGAGTCAGATGTTTTACACAACACCATAGAAATAGTGTAAAGGTCAAGTCAAGTAAACATGTCAGTCTTCCATGTTTTCTGTTTTTAACAGTGTGGATTTCGGGAAAAGGAACAGTGATTTCATTCAGACTGTTTATCTCCTGACTCTTTCTGAATCCGTCACAGAGGCTTTCCAGGGTTGTATACACTTTCTCACATACTGCTTGTTAAGACAACATTTTAAAAAGCATCAAATAAACCCTCTGATAATGATCAACCACTGGGGACAGAATTCATGCAATATCTTGCATTATAATAATTTAAATACTACAACAAAACAGACAGATGAAAGAGTCTGAAGAGACAGTAAAATGGTTAGGAAAATAATAGACATTATTAGGCTGAATTAAGAAACAGTTATACTCTGTAGTGTTTTTCAGAAAAGAGGAAGTGCAAGTGATCAAAATAATAGCTCTAAATTGTATTACATTCTCTTTATATTATCTACTCTGGTATTTATCACCGTGATAACTCAATTGATGCTGAAAATAAAATTACAATAAAAAAACAGTTTCTTCAGTAATTATCACAACATTGAAGGGATGACAGTATGTGTTTCACATGGTATATCAATGAGTAAAAGTCAAAATGTTTTATACAGACCAACAGTATTAATACATAATCTAATTTTCTCTAAAACAATTAATTTCAATAATAAAATATGAATTATCAGACTTACTGTAGAACCATGCAATGCCTGATCTATATGCATGTTATTCATTATCACCCATGAACTGAAAGTCTCAAGCTTTACGTTTGCCTTGCCTTAGTAATAGAACCTCACTCATTTTGGGAAATTCTCACCTATTTTGCATGCTCAAATGGAAAAGAAGGTACCTTAGGAACTGTAAGCCCAAATTACCTGTGTGATATATTATTTAAAAGCTAACACCTTCTAGTTTCTGAACATATACATGAAAATTGGGTGAGTAAAACACCTGAGCTGCATCAGTTCAAACAAGACTCAAAGTATTTTTTCTTTAATTCTTGAAAATAATAGGTCTTTTTTAAACAGCAGTTGTAAAGACATGCTTGTTTGTTGTGACTGCTGTGTCATGGTACATTTTGACATGCTGCTATATCTGTGTTAATTGTGGTTAGGTGCTCGCTACGTCCATAAAATTAACTATGCGGTTAAATTGTAGAGAATCTAAGCTTTCCAACGATGCCTAACATGTCTATATTGGTAAACATTTTGACCAGTGTACTTTTCATGCATTCTGAGATATTATTTGTAAACACTTTAAAACGGTGAGTTTTGAGAGATTAATCTGGAAAAAATATAATAAAAAAAAAAAGCTGTTTTTTAAAAGCATAGCCTTTCAAATCTTTTGCACACTTGCGCCGGTTACTTATACATGACATGCAGTTTAAGCAGCCAAAGTAACAGGTCAAATAAAACTAGGATTTCATCAAAAAAGGTTGCACCATTATATTTTCAAATCTGTGGACCCTAAGGCTGTGGATTGGACCCCGCTGTTGTTCGTTCCACCTTAGTAGCAGCAGGATCGTGTGATCTTCTCATTAAAGAGTTATAACATGAAAGGATTAACAAGGCATTTATATGTTAGAATTGTTACAATCCAATGAAAACAGTTGAGATCAGTGGATAAAAGTTGTTAAAAGGCTGCTGACATTGTACTGCATGTCCTTGTTTAAATGGCAGATTTAGGCAATTCATTTATTTCAATTCAAAATGACTTCATCAATTCCAAAAGGAAACTAAATATCATAACTAATATGATAATTGTTTCTTTAATGAGTCATTATTTATTTGGATGGCTGTAGGCTGAAAGGATCTCCTGTAGTGGCTGAAGTCCCTGTTACTGTGCGACAGCAGTGTGTCTTTAGTCAGATTGAGTGATTAGCATTTTACAGGCAGTAATTCTACAGAGAAGAGTTAAATGGTTTTCAAAATACTGTAGACCTATTAAACTGTGTAAAGGTGCAACAAAAAGACACATCTTCATTATATCAGATGCAACATTGGCGACCCTTCGCCCTTCAGCCGAAGGGTCGACCCGAGCTCTGGCTTTCCATGTTGTTTTGTCCTTGGGCAAGACACTGATGGTGGTCAGAGGGAATGGTGGTGCCAGTGTATGGCAGCCTCTCTCCTGTCAGTGAGCCCCCATACAGCTGTGGCTACAATGTTGCTTGCCACCATCAGCATGTGCATGAATGGGTGAATGACTGAATGCAGAGTAAAGTCCGATGGTCAAGTCTGTCAACTTGAAAAAGCAATTTGCCATTGAACTATATTTTGAAATATAGGCATCTTATCAAACATGCACCACTGGAACCAATCACACCATTTACATTTTGGGTTATATTAAAGCTCTACTAGGTCCTTGGAGGATGCAGCCTCTGAAATAGATTGCACCATAAAAGTGAGACATTTTCTACACAAAGGTAACAGTTAAGTCCTACAAAAATGGGTTCTGGACAAGCATACTTTCAAACTCATGAAAATGAAAACCCTGGAGTGAAACATCTACATGATTGTGGTTGGTGCAAAGGAAAATCAAAATCAAATCACAATTGCATTTTCATACAAAAAAATATTTAAAATATCACAATTTTGATTTTTGCAAAATTGTTTTGCCCTACTCCTCCAGCAATTGTCCACATAGATGCCATTCCTTTCCCTCTTCTACATTCATTCTTTAAATTCCACTTTTTCCCTTCCCTCTTCTACCTTCTTAACTTCTGTGGCTGGCCTGATGCACCACCAATGGCATAAATATTACAACACATATAACAGTTTCAGGTGGTTTCATCTTTATCCCTAAGCTTTTTCTGTGCAGATAGCCATTTGAACTTTGCGTGGATGCAGCCTCAGACACAAAAAAACTATCCAAGACATGCCACACTTTTGCAATTCCTTTAAAAGGCATCCCAAAAAAGTGGGAAATGCAAATGATGCACGGTAGAGACAAATTCATTGCCATAGTAAAAGTACAGTTTAAAAAAATACTCATTTAATCGTCTTTAAAAAAGTAGGTATTTTCTGAGAAAACAGAATTATCAGACTTAAGAGAGTAAAATTGCTTGAGTTAACTCTGTGACCCAGAAAATATGTTTGACTTTTGAATGACTGTTGACAAAATATGACTTGATAAATTCCTGATTTTGCTGAGATACACCTATAAATGCAAATTATATATGCGCCTTATTGCAGGGCATTGGATCCCAGGCAGGGAAGGAGCTAAATGGGGGGCCAGGGGTGGCCATGGCGACCCTTAGCCAATCATTGGCTACCCCTGTGGCCCCCCCTACCATTTTTCCCTCTAATACAGACAGTGGCAGCGGCAGTACTTACTAAACATTTAAATTTTTCATATATTAAAAACTACTTGACAACAGAAACACTGTAGTTAATTATGCACATCATCAATATACAAACATTAAAGATGATAGGTACAGAATTCATGCACTTTTCAGAACTAAATTTTGAATTATTTGCAATAAAGATAAAATGATGTGCCTCTACAAGTCATCTAGGAGTATTCAGTGAAATCATAGATAAATAACTACTTTAATAATAACTTAAAAAATGTGGATATTAGTAGATTTAAATATCAAATATTTGCAGAATGATTATTGATAAAAGTAGGTAATGACAATGTAAAATATGTTCAACCCAGAACTCAGACCTGAAAGAATTTTGTCCACAATACCTTTTATTTACACAGCATACAGTAGATGTTTAAATATATCCATATTTGTTAGCAAATGTTGCAGAAAGTATAGTCTGTCTTAATTTAGAAATAATGGATGTTGTGCTCGTTCCTGTTGGAACAGTGTAGATTGACCCTGAGGTTCTGGTGCCTTTCAGCCACCCCTCAATGTACATTGGTTATTGACTGGCCACCCCTATTAAGATTTTCTGGCTACGCCTCTGTTCCCAGTAGCCCCATTGCCTTACAAGACATCCATCATTCCACCTCTAAAGAAAAGCCCTAGGTGCATTAGCTTCATTTTACACCATAACTATGTTATTAATTGATTAATTGGAAAAACAACTTTTCCCATGAATTATCAGTGGCTTTCTAAAATATGTATCATCTATCCGCCTATATAAGGCTACACAGCATCTCACACAGAAAAAAACTGACCTGTCTGCTCTAGTGTGAACTAATATTTAAAGTTGATACTGACAAGACAACACCCAAGTGTTGCATAACTTCATGCCAGCAGGATAATCATAGGGACTGAGTCCGGCTGCAGGGGTCAGCGCTGGGAGCAGCTGCAGCAACATCCCTGCGGAGCTGTCAGGGACATGGCCAGCTGCAGGATCTGCGCTCACTCAACTCCACAGCCTAATTATCTCCTCAACTCAAAAAGCGCAGTCTGCAGTCTTGTAAATAACTGTCCACACTTACAACGAACTGACCTGTTTTTCAGGGGCTGACTCTTCAACTCGTAGTATGTTTTAGGCTCGTCCTGGAAGTCCTCTCCGACCTCGAAGTCTGGAACTATTCCCGATTCAGAATGCATCGCTCCGGTTGTCAACTTAAGAAAAGCAATGGGTCCGATATAAATTAATACAAATAAACAGGCAGGACGACGTTTGTACCGCCGTAGTTTGAGGAGTAAAGCTGCCGTCAACTCGAACCGCCTCTGACCAGGACCAGGAGTTCTGTAGTCCGCCACAGTGGCGAGGGCAGCGTGGTTGACTGACTTCAGACCGACTATGAACTACAAGTACCACAATGCACCACAGCTGTAACGTCAGCGTGCTTTTGATTGGCTTCAGCGACGAAGTTGATTTTGCGCTTAGTAATTTGCCAGGCGTTTAAAAAAAAATCAGCGAGGTGAAAATAACATAACAGGTTCACAAATTAAACAGATAAAATATTTATTTCAGTTTACGGAACAAGCTTTTGTAGCGACCTAGCCTATAACTATCCAGGGGCGGAGCTAGATGGGGGGCCAGGGGTGGCCAGTGGTACCATTTTTTCCCTCTAATGCAGATGGTGGCAGCAGTAATACTTTCTAGTGGAATATTAACTTTAATTTTTCATATATTANGGGGTGGCCAGTGGTACCATTTTTTCCCTCTAATGCAGATGGTGGCAGCAGTAATACTTTCTAGTGGAATATTAACTTTAATTTTTCATATATTACCAACAATTTTTTTCATTTATTCATAATTTCTTGACAAACAAAAACATTGTACTTCATTATACAAGTCAATATACTAACATTAAAGATGATAAGTACAAAATTAATGCTCTTTTCAGAACTAGATTTTGTGTTATATGGGGTAAAGAAAAAATTATGTCTCTGCAAGTCATCTAGGAGTCTTCAGTGAAATCATAGATAAATAACTATTTTAATAAAAACCTATTATATAATCAATTTATGTAGATATTAGTACTTGTAAATATTAATTTTAAGCAGAATTATTATTGAAAAAAGTAGGTAAGTAATGATAATGGAAAAGATGTTTGCCCCACAACTCAAACCTGAAAGTATTTTGTCCACTATACCTTTTATGTACACAGCACAGATGTTTAAATATATGCGTTTTTTTGTTTCGTTTTGTCCTAGCAAAGGCTGTAGGAAAATTATTATAGCTATTCTCATCTTAGGCTTGACCCTGAGGTTCTGGTGCCTATCCAATTTCGGCCACCCCTCAGTGTATATTGGTTATTGCCTGGCCAACCTTATAAAAATGTTCTGGCTACGCCTCTGTAATTATCCCACAAAGGAGTAACTAGAGGTGTCAAGTAACTATAGGTATTAATATCTTTACTATCTGAGTGTGCCTATCTAGAGTATTTTTTCTCTGTGGACATTTACTCACTTAATTGAAATAAAAATATCTTTAATCTACTTTCTACTCCTTTCGTTTATATGTATTGATAACAATATGTGACAGTTTGAACAAAACTGAGGGGAAATCAAGAGCTTTATGAGACTCTGTCCAATTGAAGCCCAGTTTAGTTTATAAAAAACAATGATAGCAACATGGATGGGTATAGGGGGCTGAAAAATATTGTTCTGAATCTGAAAGAAAAGAACTTCCCCATCCATTCCATCTTTGTTAGATTTTATATTCCAACTAAATGTTGATTATGTTTCAGGTTCTTTCCCATTTTAATGCTGTGAATACCAGATAATAAAGGACATTTTAATTTAAGAACAGTAGACAGAGTCAGTATATTTACATTCTCTTTACAAAGACATTGAAAAAAAGAGACAATTAACCTTTTTCTGTTTATAAAACATTTTTAAGTATAGTTTTAAAAAAAAGATATTTTGCATAATATTGGGAAAAGGCTTAGTTATGTATTTGTGCTTAAAAAAAAATAGAGCCTACACTTTTTACTAAAATAAAGAAGTTCAGTCAGTACTTTTACTTATACCAGAGTCTCTTTTTTGCATGTGTATATACTTGTGAGTGCTTTGGCAACTTTAGGTGTATCTAAAATCAAACATATTTGATATAGAGATTAGTGAAAGTTTCAAGGCATGCTTATTAATGGCACAGCCCCATTAATACTGTAGGTGATTTGCTTCTAAGCGTCTTTTTTAATATCATTAGCATTTTTATTGATTTTTGTCTGTGGTCATGTACTCTGACACAGAACTAGAAAATTGTGTTTTGATCTTTGTTTATGTTTTAGAATATGTAGTAATACTTTATAATTTGAACCATCAGAAGCATATAGGTATAAAATAAATAAAAGCCCCTACTAATTGTAGCATGCAAGAAAGAAAAAATTAGAATGAGTGAAAGATAATAAAATGAACACTGGCAACCTGACTTGTACCTATACGTTATCCTTGTCATTGCAGTGTTTTTTATTTTTCTCTTTCAGTGCTGTTTTTTTTTTTTTTCTCTAAAAACATAAAACCATATTTCTTACAAAAAAGACACATGTTCTGTCAAAGAAGATTTTTGGTGAAATCTTGTTCAATCTGAGTCTGAGACTAAACATGAACCTCTGGAGGTCCAAACTAACTGGAATGTCTGTTTCTTATCCTCTGAACAGCGTCACAAGCAGGTAATCGTATTAGTTTATAGCCTTCTCAGTTGAACTGTTATCTACCACTGAGGGGCAGCATAGTGCTAAAAAGAAAACAACTAGTAGATATGTAATATTTGCATTATTCTCAGCCTGTTAAACCCGTATGAAGTTTGTATTCTGCCAATGTAATTACAATAGAATTGTCCAGCGAGCGCCAGATGCTTCACAAAATAATTCCTGAGTTAACAAAACTGAAACAGGACTGACACTCCTGAATTCTCACACTGTGGGACAATAAAAGATCTCTGTATTTTATTGCACACAGGGATCACAGTACAACCATCATTTAGCTTTATTTTACCAACTCCATAATTTAGAAAACACAAAAGAAATTATAGCTCACTTTTAGTCAGATATGAAGCCTGTGCTTCAGGCTTTTAATTTCAGTTAAAGACTCCTCTGCAAACAGACAATAGACCAGACACATGTATTATTCTGGTTGTTGTAGCTTAGAGAATTGATGCTCTGATTACCCAGAACCCCCAACTGTGTGAGACCCCCAGAGTGTGTGGAGAACAATACCCTTTGTGATTTGTTAAGTGGGTACGTATGTAAATATTTCATACATTTCTACTCTGTATTCCATCTTCGATTTATGGTTTTGACACAGCTCAATGAAACTATAGCCTTTATTTTAACCACATAGGGTTGCTGCTGGATTATTGAGGCTGCCAGGGGAGAAATAAAGCTTTGTGTGTGTTGAACCATTCCTGTGTTGGTTTGGCCATGCATTCGAGATAACGTTTATCCATTTGAACTTTTCTGACTAAATGTTAAATATTCTTGTCCTTACTCATAATGACAGTTGAATTATACTTAAATTGTGGCAATATAAGAGTTAATACTTTTCTTATTTGTTTAAGGCCAGATCCACCTAAGATACCCTTGTTTATAATTCTGAAGGTAAAGTGAAAAAGCTTGCTTTACATGCTTTATTTCTATGGAAACTTGGAATCTAAAGATACATCTGTTCTCTGACATTATGTTTGAAAGGTGCTTTTTACTGATCTTACTGCTCTCCTGTATGGTGACAATGAGCCACAGATTAAAAAAAAGGAGTTAGCAAAGTGAGCAGTTCACCAATATATTCTTTGATAACACACGACATGTTCCCCTGTAAATAAGTGTCCCCCAATTAAAGGTTAAAACTGTAAAAAGTGTTTACAATTTCAAGGCTTTTTCTACAATGGACTAGAGGTGCAAAAACACAGCAAACACATATATACTGTAACACCTATTCCACATAAAGCCCTGTGATATAAAGCAGTTTAAAAATTACATTCATCTTGAAAGCAATATTTTTAAACACGTGATCAAATTATTTTAAATATGAATATCATCACTTTTAAACCACACAATTAATGAAATAAAAAACATCTGTAGACCTCTAAAGTTGTTTTTCTGGGTTTAAAATTATAAATATTAAAAATAATATATTTGCCACAGTGTAAATATCAGGCTTGATTCTGGTTCACAAAAACACACTCACTACCATACTCATTTGTACAATTATACTGACCTCAGCATAGCTGAAAACAGCAGCTTGATTGCAGACCTAACCGCATCATTGTTTACACAATGATGTGCAGATAGCTACTACAGAAACTGAAAGCCAGTGCAAACAGAGTTAGCTAACATTGATGATAGACTTTAATATAAAAAAAGAAGTGGTTTTGCTCTGGTGTCCACAAACAATCAGCTTTAATTCTAAACATGAATGCCAGTCAGTTGTGAGTGGGTTACATCCATTTACAATAGTATGATTCTCTAACTCTGAACTTAGAATAGCATCAGTAAACACTGGCTTTTTTTATTTCAATGCCTCAGGACATTCACAAATACGTATCACATGTTTGTATTTTTAATACAAGAGAAAACCAAACAGTTTCAAGCTAGTAGGGAAACAGTATAATAGCAAGCTCAATAAAAACAGTTCTGAAAAACAGTTCCCATTAAATTGCTATTAAAGAGTATTCTTCCATGAAGTCCTGGATAAAAAAGCAAAATAAATATAAATGAGAGAAATTTAGCACAATGAAAATATGGACACTATATCATATAAAACAGAAATAAAATACTCTTATCTTGCCATATATAAACGGAAGTGTAATTGAAAAAGGACCCTTTACATTGCTGGGGCCATGACTTTTCTTTGAATAATGCATGTCTATAAGATTAGGGGTGCATTGGAATTTAAGGACTGCGTCTTCCAAGAACACGGCCTGCCTGGACTGGATCCTTTGAAGTCCTTGAGAATATGGAGACTGAAATCAGAGTGATGACTTAATAACAGTATTGTTAAATCTCATGTTGTCATGTTTTCTGCATTGATAAAGATTCACTCTCATGAACATTTCAGAGGCTTAAAAAGTTTTTTTATCTCCTAATTTCTTAGTTGATTCCTTTATGTAATTATTAGGTTATCAAACAAAACATATTAATGTCTGTAGAGAACCCACGCATGTACAAGGAAAACAAGCAAAAGTCAATCAGAAAGACCCCAGCCTGGAAATCGAACTCAGGACCTTTTTTTCTGCAAGGCAGCAGTGCTACCCACTGCGCTACTAAGCAGCCCT